AATTAAAAAAACTTACCTTTTTTAAGATAAAGTGTTATGAGAAAAGGGTTTGCATGAAACTTTAGCAAACAAAGCCTATGACTCCCAAGTAAAAACAAAAAAATGAAATATGAATAAAAAAATTAGATAAAAATAACATTATTAGAGCTTAAAAATTATAATAAAAACTAAAATTCGAATACTAATAGGATAATAATTTATATCATCAAACAATTAATCACTAAGAAGAAAAGAATTATTAGTAATTTTAGGAAATAAAATAAAATTTAGTGAAAATAATCAGTAATAAAAATTTATAATTTACCTTTAAAAATAGAGTGAATTAATAATAAATCTAATAAATTATAAGAAAAAAATTGTTTGAAAATTTTAAGAGCAAATAAATTCTAGTGAAAATAATCAAAAACATAAACCAGCCTAAAATGAAAATCAAGAGAATAAAAATTATATATCATAGCAAACATGATTGATTTATTAATAGATTCCATGAATTACAACTATCTAGTAAATAACAATAATAATAATAGAGAACATTGTTAAGAATTTTAGTTAAAAAACAAAAACAAAAAAGGAAACAATCAAGAGGGAAATTTTTTTTTTACAATAAGCAATGCTTACGAACTAATTAATTTAGAGATTCTAACTCTACACATTTCTAACAAATTATTTTTAAAATGCTCATGTACCAAATTAGGTATCTCCCTAAATACACAAAGAACTCTTTCTAAATGGTAAAATCTCAAAGCCATTTAACATGGACAGTAGTTTGCTTTCCTAAAGATGTTATGCACCTCACATTGCCATTCTCATTGCATAAAGCTCCTGCACTTGCATATCTAATTGGTTAACGAACTGTTTGTTCTTTTTTATTTTTATCAATACTACTTTGAAAAGAAATCAATGGAGTATAAATAATAGGAAGAGAATTTCAAGAGATAGGCATCAATATTAGAAAATTAATGGCAATAATGAGAATATTTTATGAAAAAAAGAATTAAATATATTCATTATCTAGTGAACTTTAATTTCATGAAAGGGAAAATCAAAAGGTATGTCTCTTTTCTCTTATTTTGGTTTAATATACATGTAACAGAAAATAATAATAAATATATTAATTTAATATACATCGAATAATTGGAGGGATTGTTTTATTGCATATTTATGCATTAATTAGGGATATATAGTAAGCTTGA